TGCAGACTCAGGTGACGTTTCCCGGCTGCAGAACTGCTGAGGTTCTGCCAGTAAGCGGCTGGAGCTTATCAGATGAACTCTGGTTTCCTCTCAGCGGAACCAGGTCAGAGAAGATGCTGACAGACTGACTGAAAGCTGCTCGGCTCAGACCTCACGACAAACCACATCACAGCCACCGCCACGTCACGGCCAGGGGCGGGGCCACCGCGCTCTGACAGCCATATATGGAAACAGGAAGCAGAGCAGTGACAACACAGAGGGGAGTCATCTGATTGGCTCCTCTGAGCTGTTATATTATTATATGCAGAGTTTACACACTAAAATCAAACCTTTACCTGTTCGATACACCTGACACAGGTGGAACACGTCATCCTGATTGGCCAAACATTCGAACCAGTAACTGCAGAAAACAAATAATATGTCAAATTAAAAAAGCAAAACAGACATTATGCCACTTATTTATATATACATATATATATATATATATGTGCAGTCAGTAAAANTTCTGTGGAGCCTCCATCGTCTCCAGAGTTGACTTTACATCAGACATACGTCTCAGTGTGAAATCCTGCTTTAATCTGAGCGCCTGAGTCCAAAACAAACTGGCTGCTGAGCTTCATTTTCAGACTTGGTCCTGTGATCCTGACCAGCCTGTAGTTCTCCCTCCGTCCAGCAGAGGGCCTCACACCGTCCTCTCCATCCTCTCACCTGATTCGTCACCTGGCTGCTTCCTGTTTGGGCTCTCTCAGGCCTGTTGCCTGCTGTGAGTTTATTATGTTAAATAAAATCAGCTGTAATGAGACGAGGCTTTAACCTCATCTTCATCTGCTGAGTTTGATCGAAACAGTCGCGTCTGTGAAGGTTCTCAGTCCTCCGGGTCAGAACCCCGTCTGTGGATCAATTCATTTACTGACGCTGCTGGAAGTCAAACCGACGTTCTGACGCGTCTGAAGGTAAAACATTAAACAAATCAAATGAATAAATACATATATGAAATAAATAAAATGTTAAAAAAAAAGACAAATAGAGGTTATTGACATATGATTTTTTTTTTTAAATATCTGAAGCAAATTTAATGTCTGCAGAATATAAATAGCGCCTGGCAGCCCAAAGCTCACAGTGCGTTTAGTTTCTGATCGATGAAGACGTTCCATCAGCGTCTTCTACAGAAGACCTGAACGCCATCAGAAATCTAATGAGAATAAACTAAAGTGTTGATCCTGGAACCACATCTGGGTTAAACTATGACTGAGAAGTTACGACAAACCAAATGCGTCCGCAGGAAAGTCGATGTCGCCTTTCTGAGTATTTCCACCTCCTCCACCCACATCTGTTCTTCAAACGGGGTCACACTGGTCCCCGGGTTTCCGTGGAGACGGAGGGCGTGATGACCTCACCCAGGTGTGGTCTGTTTGATGAGGCCGTGATCGTCCCTCAGGTCTGGCGCTGTGGTGGGTGGAGCGGAGCTGGAGGGGCTTTCTGAAGAACCAGAGGCTCCGCTGTGGTCTGAAGAACCTCCAACTGACATCCAGGAACCCTTTCATCTGACCTCCAGGTTCCCCAGTTCCTCACCTGCTGGAACACCTCAGAGCTCTGCTGTCAGGAAATGAACGTAAACTACACAAAACATTCACAAAGAGACAGAAGCTCAGTTTGTACAACTGATCTACAAACAGAGTGAGAACCTCTGAAGTCAAAGAGC